TCCTCGGCACAGTTACCAGCTGCCCAGCTCTGGTCAGCCTCACAGAAGGTGGCAGCATCCTTTGCCAGACCTGGAGCAGGAGAGACGTAAGCTCTGAGGTTCTTGTTGGCGGGGTGAATCCTCCCTGGCATGTCTCCGTATCTGAGCCTACTTCTGCCCTGCCTTTAGCTACCCAGCTGTGTGGCTTCAAGGTGCCAGCTATCACATTTAAGAGGAAGTGGATGACTGGAAGCTGAGGGAAGCAGAGCCTCCGGCAGGCTCTGGGGAGTCGTGTTTTAGTACAGCCTCTGCTGGGGACCATGGATGTGGTGCCCTGCCACCCCAGCAACCCTCCACACGGCCAGCTCTCCTCTGTCACTGCGTTACAAATGAGGGAAGGGGCTCCGAGTTGGCCAGCGGCCTTCTAGACACCGACCCTCCTGCTGGTTTTCTATAGCCAGCCGGAAAGGGACAGTGGAAGGTTCCAGGGACAGTCACCATTACTAGCACTTGCTCCTTTGTGCATGAAATGGACGGCTCATGGTCCTCCCATGGCCTCAGGCAAGTACTTGCCGGCCAGTTTTCTCAGTGCTTCACGTGAGGCCACGGGAGGTGAGACGTGTCACCTCCGCCTGGGGCATAAAACACTTCCAATCTCTCAAGGTCCTAACATGTCCTCTGAAACTAAGACTGGCTTTCTTGACCTCCTTAGGTCACAGATGCTCTCTGGAATCTAATAGCTGTGGGTTGCCCAGAAAAACGCTCCCTTGCACATGCCCATTCTGGGGGCCCAGCAAGATGGCACCCCGAGCAAAACACCTACTAAGCCTGACCTCTGAGTTGAATCCCTGGGACCCACATTGTGGGCGGAGCAAACTGACTGCTGCAAGTTGTCCTCTGACCTCCACGTGTGCACCATGGTGCCTGTGCGTGCATTCATGAGTATGTACACAAAAGGCAAGCAGAAATGATAGACTTCTGCCCACACATGTGAAGTTAGGAAGTCGTGCTTTTTGCATTGGGGTTCTGGGGTACAGAAAGACCTACTGCACATGTCAGGCTCAGGAGAGGAGGCCAGGTAGTGCTGGCTACTGGGTGTCCCTACTCCTGGAACAGGCACATATTCTGGAAGCAGCATCTGTGCTGCAGAGACAGGTCTCCACCTGAGCTCTTGTTGCAGATGCCAAGTCACCTCATGGAATGCCTGTGCTGTCCTCTGAGGTGCAGAGTCGCTGAGGCTCAGAGAGGTGAAGCAGCTTAGCCAAGGCCACACAGCTTGTATCTACCAGATCAGGTAGTTGGTAGACAAGTACGGATGGCTACATCCTGCTCTTTGAAAGCACCCTGCCGGCTGGGATCTTTAACAGGAAACTGGTTGACCTGGCCTCACAGACCCAGATTTAACTCAATGCCATCCCACTCCAGTGTTCTAAGGAAGCCCCCCACCCGCGCGCGCGCGCGCGCGTGTGTGTGTGTGTGTGTGTGTGTGTAGGACGGATGTCAATGTTAAGTTGACATCCTTTGTTGTCAGTGTATTTTTCAAGGCATCCTCATTGAGCCTGAAGCTCACCGCTCACCAGTTAGCTAGGCTAGCTGGCCAATGAGCTCAAGGGATCTACTTCAACTACTACCACCCACTCCGCCCACCTCCAAGCAGAACTGGGATTAGAGACATGCACCCAGGTCTTATATGGGTGCTGCGGATTTGAACTCAGGGCCTCATGCTTACATGGCAGGCACTGTACTTACTGCACTATCAGCCCCCTGGGAAGTCGTTTCTAAGTCTGGTTTTACACAGATGACATTAAGTGGGACCCCCAGCCACACCCCATCATTGGTACTGCCTTCATCCCTGCTAGTCACTTCGTCTCTTGACCCAGCCCCTGGTCCAGCTAATGTTAATTCTGCAATCAGACACCTCTGGGATTCTGTCCCCAGCCCCAGGGTCTTTGGGACTTGGGCCTACAGACCATGAGCATGGTGTAACCAGAAACTCAAGGTTGGAGTCTGTGGGTCTCCTGTGGTTTCTTTGGACTGGAGCAGGTGAGGATGGGCATCTAGCTGTCCTGGGCCTTTCTTTTTTTCTTCCTTAAGCATTTAATTAGTATTTCAAACAAGGAAAATATGGATGGACGTTTTCCACCCATTTTAGCAGCTAATAACGTGTAGATGTGCACACCACGGGGAAGATTTGCCTTTTTCTTTCATTTTTTTGTTCTCTGAGACCAGGCCTCATTAGTCCAGGGTTACCTCCACCTCACTCTGAAACCAAAGCTGGCCTTGAACTTCTGATCCTCCAGCGTTAGCCTCCGGAGGATGGGGATTACAAGCCCGCACCGCTACGCCTGTCTCTTGCTTGTGTCTTGAATAAATACAGTGAGCAGCTACAGACAGAGAGGTTGAGAGCTGGAGATGCAAAGGCCAGCGGGTGAGCAGCCTGGGGCTGAGTCTGACTTGGGGTGGTGTTTCCCAGAGCCTCCCCTTCCCCAGTCTGTAGAATAGTGATTTCCTCATTCCCAGGAGGACAGAAGAGGGCCTAGACCTTGCCGGAGCGTGAGAAACTTGGGGGCAGGGGGTTAAAGAGGGAGTTTAGCACCACATAGGCGAGTTGGTTTAGCAGATCAATGCTTCAGCAGGCTGAGAGTTCTGATTTTCAGGGCTATTGAGCTCCAATGTACAAGCAAGCTGGGAAAAAAAATAGCTGTGTTGGTTCTTTTAATGATTAAAGGTAATGACAGCAGCTTCGTTCCTTTGAAGGCCTCCCCCTTCATCTCAGTCTTCTCCATCTTGGTTAATCTAATCCTGCTAAATTAAGAGCCTGCCAGGCTTGGGATACAGCTCAGTGGTAGAGAGCTTGCCTACCATGCACGGGGGTCTGCTAGAGCCAGCACCTACCCACAGAGTGAGCGTGCAGGTCACTGGGTCTCGTGGGCAATATACAACCTGGTGAGTGAAGAGAAGGGCCAGGGCCCTGGCTCCAGGGTGCCCGCCCTTCCGCCCCGGCTGGTGATCTGTCTGTCTGTCTGTCTGTCTGTCTCTGTCTCCTATGTGTATGAATGAGCCATGGGAGGGGTTGAGGCAGGCTAAAGCAGGGCCGGCATCCCTGGCAGGTGAGAGAGCTGGGTGGAACCCCAATGGCCTGTGTCTCGGGGCTGCCTTCACAGACACTGACCCAGGGAGCCTGTCAGTGCCCATCATGTTTCAGAAGGGAGCAGCAGCGTCCCTCTGCTGGACACGCCCTCAGTTATGTCTTCCTGAGATGGTGGGGAAGGCAGAGCGATGCGCCCCACAGATTCTGGGGCCTTTGCCTTGTCCCTGTGACTGCAGCCTAGGATGCACAAGGCCCACGGGAGCCTAACGTGAGCTCTGGGGAAGGCTGTGTACCACAGCGTCAGGTGTTTGGTTCCGGCCTCCCTCCTCACCTCACATCCCAGCCATGCTCCCCAGTCAACACGGTTCTTTTGTGACTCCTATCTGTCAGCCTTAATGAAGTGGCTTCCTGGCTGCTGAGGACTGAGAGCTGCTACTGGGGACGTAAGTCACCAATAGAACGGAAAACACCGGAATACTGTGAGGTGCCAAGCTGGGCCTGCCCAGTGTGGTTCTAAAAGGCTAATAAAAATCTACCAATTAATTGTGACAGCTCAATGGAAAATTATTCAATTGTGAACAGGGGCAAGCCGCCACTCGCAAGGAGGAGGGGAGATGTTGCCATGGAAACATCAATATAAGTCCTCATCTCAGCAGTCACAGCCAGCCCTGGAGTGAGTTGCTTCTGACGGGTGTGTCTGACCTGGGATGGGATGTAGGAGACTCAGCAGCCTTTGAAAGGGATGCTCTGCCTGGCCCCAGGCTGCACACAGCCCAGACTGAGCCCCCGCCAGGTGGAGATGTCAGCCCCCCCCACTCCTAATTCTAAGAAACATAGGTAAGGAGCAGGGAAGTGAACAGGGAAACAGCCTGTGCCGTCTCTCCCTGTACCTTCGCCCAGCTGCCAATTAAGGGGCTGGTAGGAGAGGCGTGCGGGGTACAGACAGCCTGATTTCCATCTCCCCAAAGTGAAGGCTCCAGGAGCTCAAGAAAAGAAGTTTCTGGGGCCCAGAGGACCCGGAAGGAGGAGGCCGGCATTCCATTATGGTGCTGTAGTTGTTACGACTTTTATTTCAGAAGATACACACAGCACATTCCTAGTTTGGGTATCTGAAATTCAGCCTTGCTTGGCAGAAAACCATCCCTTCCAAGTTCAGGTCCCACGAGGCCCCTGACTTGGCAAACACTGTCCTGGACAAGGCCAGCTGCCGGAGGGGATGGGCTGCCGGAGGGGTTGGGCGGGCCATCGGAAGGGCAGCTTGGTGCCGCCGCTGCCCGCTGTGGGGCTTTCTTGCCAAAGGCATCTTGTGCTAATGGGGTGGAGAGCACACTTGCTGTCTTAGGTTTGTGTTTGGGTGGGTTCTCTTCTCCCCATCATTTGTAACTCTCAGAGCCACATTCTAACACAGCGGAGTGTGCTCTCTCATGATGCTTCAGATGTCAGCCACCAGCGTCCCTGTGGGGGCCGTCGGGATTTTGACTTCCCGCGGTAATCCCGCAGCCCACCTACCATCAAATGAGCAACAGAGCCAGAGGCCAGTCATTTTCACAGCCCCAGTGCCCTGCCCCTGGGGGCTGGGGTTGCTCCGCTGTCAGACCACTGGAGAAAGAGGGTGGCCGACCCAGGCAGCAGCCTGAGCCGTGGGTTGGGACAAGGGCCTTCGCCTTAATAACCAAGACACATTTGCTCTCCTTGTGTGGGTTGTTTGGTTTTTTTTCCAGGAGCGGATGATTGTTCTTTGTTTTTGATTTTATTTTATTTTTTAACACCATCCAAATTTTTCACTTGAGCAAAGTTGGAAATAAAAAGTTGCGCATACATTTATCTACCACTAATTCAATATGATAGGCCTTTGCTGTCTCCGAGACTGGGTCCTGGCGGGGGCGGGCAGGGGCAACAGTGGACAGATAGGCAGAGTCCACAAAGGCCCTCACCGGCCAAAGCGAAAGCTGAAGCCTCCCTTCCTCCTGCTATAGCTGCTGAGCTCCTCTGCCAAGGTGCCTAGGGGGCCGCTGGCCTTCTCTGAGTCAGTGGGCAGGAACCCTGCGGCCTGGCTGCCGCCATCCTGCCTCCCTAGGCGGAAGCCGGTGTGTGCCCTGCGCGAGGCCTGCAGTTCCTTGGCCACCACAAGCAAGGCCTGTGGCTGTGGTACTCTCGGCCACGGGGAAAGACCTCGCACTGAGTGGGCTCTGTGTCCCTCAGCCAGGTGGACCCTGCTCATCTTGGCTCCGACGTCACCGACGTCTGTGGGTCCCATTCTGTCCAGCAGGGGAAAGCAGGCACTCAGTGGCAGCAAGAGGAGGTAAGGCAAAGAGCAGAGGCTCCTCATCTGAGCGGAGGAAGGAGAGGAGGGGGTTAGTGGCCAGCATTTGGTCTCATGTACTCCCTGGCTCCAGGTTTCCCGTGACAGCCTTTGGAGGGACAGCTGCCGGCTCAGCTTAGCCTCGGAGACTGGCCTTTCTTCGCCACTGCAGGAGCTGGCTGTCCCAATTAGGGTTTTTCTCACTCACCTGCCGCCAAGGATCTGCCTGCCTTGGTGGCGCAGTACTGGCGTGCCAACTGCTGCCAGCTGGCTTGCAGAGGTACCCGGGTGGCCCTCAGGGCTGTGTGCATTTGGGTTCAATTTTCTATTATAATTATTGACTCCTGGGCCATGGGCAGAGTGAGAAGCAGTCGTGTTTCAACTTGATAATGAACAGGTCTAGTTGGTCTGCTGGGAGAGCCCACTGTCTCCGTAACTCAGGACAGGGAAATGGGCCTGGTGGTCCTTGTGTAACTGGGGAGGAGTCAGTGACAGGGATGGGGACAGCCAGCACCTACTGAGCTCACTGGACAGGACAGGCTTAGGGCTAAGGATTACCCACATGAATGAGCTTATCTTCAAGATAAGTTTGCTTATCTGTCTAGCAAACTGCACCCCACCACACAGCTGGAGTGGGGGCTCGGGACTCAATTGGCCTCAGGGAAATGATTGCTTCCTGCACATAGCCATCCACCCCACCACCCAGAATGCCACCCCCAATTCCTAGGACTCAGAGGCACAGGGTTTGCGGGATCCTACAGCCTTCTAAGGGAGGGATCTGAGTTGAAGGATCCTCATCACTCTGTATCCCCATGACTGTCCCACTGTCACTGGGTGCCCCCACACCTCTGCCTTGCTGGGAACTCCCTCATAGAGGAAGTCTGTCTTGCAGTGACCGTGGGTGAGCCACTGGCTCGTCCTCTGAGGAGCCCCCTGAAGCTGGAATAGAAGGGGGAGAGCGTTCTTTTTAGAAACAGCTCCCTTGAAAACATTTCAAAGATGTGAGCTCAGTCAGAAAGCTTCAAAAACAACAACAAAAAGCAGCCTGGCTTCCTAACCAAATCTGGCTTGCTAAGCCCCCTGGTCCCCAGGGGCTGGAGTAGCCTCCAGCCTGCTGCTGCTAAGGGGTTTCCTCAGGCCCCAGTGGACAGCTGGACAGCGTCCCCCACAGGGGACAGGCATGTCTCATTCCCTTTTCCCTATAGCATGCGTGAGGACCAAGGAATTGTCTTTGTCCTCAGAGACAAATGCTTCCTTGCTGGCAGCTAGCGCTGACCTGTACTGGTGGGACTTGCGCACAGGATGAAGCTATGGGGAAGCTGTGGGTCTCCCACGATCCGCCCTCCCCCCCGTGTGGCTCCAGGTGCCATGCCTGCCTGCACCCAGGTCACCTGGAGCGCCCACCCTCGGGTCCCCTGCTGTACTCACTGTGCTGCGGGCTGCTCTCAGGAGAACAGGTGGATCCCTGGCCCCAGTGCCAGGCAGAGCTACTTGGGTCCTGGTCCAGCAGGCATGGCCCTGGGGTTTCCCCGCTTTATGCAGATCCCTGGTGTCATGGGCCCCAGCCCGCCTGATTGCTGTACATTCCTGGCCCTAGGATTCCTTTGGGGTTGCTGGTGGTGAAGGCGGGGGCAGTGTGGGCCACAGGACAAAGACACAATGCAGACAGGATGTGGTCCGACGAAAGTGGCAGGCAGTGCCCTTTGGCGAGGGCATCATGGCCCGTGAGCTGTGAGCACAGACCCTGCAGACCTGGGTGGAGACATCAGTGCCCACCCTCGAGAATCCTGTGGTGCTGTCCTTGTGGTCTCCCTGCAGAAAGGGCGACCTTTTTCACTGCTGGGGGGCTGGGAGGGTCACAGATACCCAGTCCCTTCTGTAGGAAGATGAGGTAGAGCTTTAGGAGAGGTGAAACTGGACAGGAATTCTTTCTTCAGAGGGGGCAGGGGACAGAACCCAGAACCAAGCAGCCCCTCTCCGGCTTCAGCCCTAGCGCTACTCCCAGTCCGTCCCACACGGATGGTGCGTGCTTCTCTCACCATTCCGCCCCGTGGCTGGGCTGTCCCTGATGTCTGTACATACCCCAGACTTGGCTGTGCATCCTGACATAAAGCCACGGGGCCTGCCCTTCTGAACCCCAACTGAGTGTGGTAATACCCACCTCCCTAGTAGCTGTCACGGTGGCTGGGAGGCAGGGCATGGTGGTAGCTAGGTGTGGACCTTGGCAAAGGCATATGGCGGGTGATGAGGTCATGGTGCCTCTCACCATCACTCCTCACCACACACCATGGCTTCTCTTCTGCAGACTCCATGACTGGGCGCTGTTCTTACCGGCCTGGCCTCACCGCAGTGTGTGTCTAGGGAGGCTGTGTCACTGCCCTTCCATGGCCCATTCCTTTTACCAGAGACACCCTCTGGGAACCGCCCACTATGTCTGGCCACTACCCATTCCAGGGCACTACTCAGCCCAGTTCTTCTGGTGACTACTGTCAGATGAGGCTTCAGCAGCTGTGGTAGGATGAACCCTTTCCAGACAGGACCCCTGGTGGCCAACCTGTTCCTCAGCTCAGACTGGGTTCCCCCATGTCATGCTGTGCCTCCGAGGCAGGGAAGCCAGCTCAGAAGTTTGATTTAGTCAAAGTCTTGGCTGGGAGGGCTGGCCAGACTCCCGGGGCACTTTCTAGGCCCACTTCTGGGCTCCTGCCAACATTGGTCTCTGATAACTGGAGGCCCAGTTTCTTCAGCCGCAGTCTGCCATCATGGACTCTGCCAGCAGCCGAAATCCAGGGCAGTGTGGAGGCTGGAGCTGAGGGTGCGTGCGGTGCCCTCGGGCAGCACAGGCCTCACCAAGGTCAGAGGCTAAGTAGAACAGGAAGCAGTTTTCCAAAAAGTTCTAAGGCTCCCTGGGTGATGGCCCTGAGGGCACAGAGCTCCGATCCTGCCCATCTGAGATCGCTTACACCCTGACCTGTCCTTGCACATGGAGTGAGGGCTGGGACTGGATTGAGAGGGCACATTCACCACAGCCAGTCTGTGCCCTGCAGGTACTGAGCCAGCCCCAGGCCCTTGGCTTCATCTGAACTTAGCTACACAATTCCCTCCCAGAACAGGACCCAGCCTGAAAGTCCATCCAGCTGCCATCTCAGGCAGCTGTGACCCTCTGAGATTGATGATGTCACTGCAGTCCTCATGTCATGAAGGTCATGTGGACCCACTAAGCCCTAAGGATGACATGACCAGCAGGATGCCCTCCCCACAGGCGTTCACCACCACACAGGCCCCCCGACTCCCCACAGAGCCTTGGGGAGTTCTCTCCCCTCAGTACTGTATCCTGTCGGAGGGGTGTCCCCAAGCTCCTAGATAGCTCTAGAAAGTTCCGTGACTGGGTTAGTAAGACCTATCCAGATGGTCCAGCTGAGGGAAACATCACGACAGTGGCCTAACAGTGTCAGGGAGCAGGCTAGAAGGGCAAGGCCCCCACCTGGGTGCTGTGTCTCCACACGGAGACAACCACCATGGGTTTCTGTGTCCTTTCCTCAGGCAACCCCATCTCTGTCCTCCAGCCCCGTGACCTGGAGTGAGCGCCGAGTGGACAGGATGATGAGGGTCTGGTGGACCTGGACTCAGGACGCCCCCACAGTGCAGGAGTGAGGATGTCCGACTGTCCCTTGCTGGTGTCTTCCTTCACCAAGCAGCTCCTCCAGCATCGGCACTCAGCACTGCCTTTCATGAAATAACTTGGGTGGGCCTCAAGTTGAAGCCTCGAGTCGAGCTAAGCAATAATTAGTTTCTCGGAGGGCCAGCTCTTCAGAGCCCCAGACCCATCCCCTGTAGGGGCCGTTCACCACCACAGCAACACCAGCGACCCAGACTCTCAGACAGCCCTGCTGGGTACCCTCGCCTGCACCCCAGGCTTGGCTGTCTCTGCCTAGCCACCGAGAGCACACACATACCTGATAAGCCAAACAGAGTGGCCCGAGAACACTGAGTGTCTGCCTGGCTCTGCTGCGGCACTGAGTGGGACAGGACTAGAGGTGAACGCTGGAGCTGGCTCACCACAAGACTTTATTGCAGACAGGGACACACAAGACGCCAAGTGCACACCACCCCAAGTAGCATTGGCCCCGCTCCATTTGCCCATGGAGTGTTGCTCTGACCTTCAGAGCTCCACCCCAGCCCCAGGGCCCCACTGCGCCCGCCCACCGACGTGAACACCTGCCCTGCTCATCACAGCTAGACTCAGGTTGGACCCCTCCCCCACCCCGGTTCCACAGCAGCCTGACCCCAGGCCTCTGGACTGATGGATCCCTGCAGTGGTGGGGCCACCACAGGGTCGGAGAGCCTTCCCCAAAGGCAGATGAAGAAACGGAGGCTTTCGGAGGCCCCCAGACCATTGGTTCCGTGTTGTTTAGCACAGTTCTGGGCTCTGCGAGTCTTCTGCCAGCATGTTGCTCCTCAAATCATAGCACAGGATTAGGTCAGCCGTGGTCATTGCTCTTGCCCCTTGTCCACATCTCCTGCCTCAGGGCCAGCCATCTTGATTGGAGCTGGAAGGTCACACTGTTGCTCACAGACTTTCTGGTCATCCAAGGCCCTATTCTCTCCCAGGAGTGCTCCTTGGGGACAGGACCTGTGGTGACCATGGCCACAGACTCCCGTGCAAAACCAAGAGGTGACAAGGATGAGGGGACAGGGAAGCGATGGGCATCGATGATGCTACTTCTGCCAGCAAACACTAGTCCCCACTCACATGAGCCACTGATGTCACAGGAGAGGCACACGGCTCTAACCTGATCTTCCACCAGCCCAGGCTTGGGGGGGGGGGGACAAGGCGCTGTCCACTCGCGGCGTGCTGGCTAAGTAACATTGGCATGACACGGGTGTAGCCGGTTTGAGGCCTTCAGTGGAATCCACGGAGTCAGCTTAGGCTCGGAAAAAAGTTTTGATGGTTTGCAGTTGAGACAGCCATGTTGCCAAGACCCTGCCCCAGAAGGAAAGCAGTGTGGCTTGGCCAAATGACATCATGG